AAACTTCAATGAACCTCTGGAAAACGAAGCTTATAGCTAATGAAGAAGTACTGGGTAAAGTTGAAATTAAACTAGGCATTTTCCATGATATCAACCCATGAAATAAAGGACTTATAATGAAATGTTTCATATATGTAGTATGTTTGGGATGTATTTGTTACTTTTTTCTTTTTTGATATATTAAAACAATAACTTTTTTCAAAGTTCATTTAGGTACTTTGTTATCCTTTACTTTTTAAAAATAAGTTGAATTGTGTTTCAAAATCTTATTTATAGAACTGATGGTTAGGAAAAATATACCTACCAATGTTTTCCTCAGAGAGCCGTAAAATTTCCTGGAATTGGGGTTTTACCTAAAACACGGAACAGAAATCAAAGCCACCACTTTACTCTTCTTCAAAATTGTAAAGCATAATGTAATTACTGGATATTAAATAACAATGTTTTAGGAATCCTTTAAAATACTTGTATCTATATTTCCCTCATACATTAATTAAGCATTAATTAAGGACACTGGAAGAAAAAGGTCTAGAAAAATGAAACACATTTTATTTTATACTTGTCTTTTTCATTTTTTTGACGCAGAAATTAATGGCTATTCATTTGGAAATGTTTTTTTTCCAAAATCATTTGCTATTTTACTTGATACACTGTTATTTAAATCTTGGAAGACAATGGTTGATATGCACAGGTAAGATATTAACTTGAAAAGCTACTGTATGTTTCGAGTATAAGACACACCTTTTTTCCTGAAAAAAGAGGCTGAAAATCTGGGTGCATCTTATACATTGAATACAGCATTTTTTTGCCTCCTGAAGCTCCGCCCCTTCACCAAAATGGCTGTGCCTAGCTTTATGGGGGCTTTCAGAGAACTCTTGGGGGCTGGGGAGGGCAGAAATGAGCAAAAAATGGCCGTTTTTGCCCACCCCCAGCAGAACACTATAAGCCTCCATAAGGCTATGCATGCAATTTTTTTGACAAAAAGGGTCATTTTTTACTCTTTTTTGCCCCCCCAGAAGCATTCTGCAAGCCCCCCCCCCAAGGCTATTCATGCCTTTTATTTGAAAAAAAAATGGGCCTGTTTTCACAAAAACGGGCAGTTTTGAGGAGGTTTGCAGGGTGCAAAAACTTTCCCCCCCCTTTCGGAAAGCTCTTTAGTTAGAGTGATTGATAAGAATGACATTGATCAAGTGCTGTGCCAGCAGAAACAAGTCTTAGGTGCTGCAGGTTGTCAGAGATTTCCTTCTCCAGCACATGGTTAAATACACCTGGAAACATCTACCTACCTACCTATCTACTCTCTCTCTCTCTCCCTCCCTCCCCCTCCCTACCTACATACCTACCCCCCTCTCTCTCCCTCCCTCCCTACTGTATTTCTCTCTCTCCCCCTACCTACCTATCTACTCTCTCTCCCTACCTACTGTATTTCTCTCTCTCTATCCCTCTACCTACCTACCTACCTACCTACCTACCTACCTACCTACCTACATACATACATACATACATACATACATACCTACTCTCTCTCTCCCTACCTACTTACTGTATTTCTCTCTCTCTCCACCTACCTACCTACTTTTTAAAATTTGCCTCTTTAAAACCTTGGTGCATCTTATACTCCGGTGCATCTTATACTCCGAAAAATACGGTAATTTGTAAGTAACAGTGCTATTAATAAATGTAAGGATATAAAAATTCAACCACTGTCACCGTTTTGTTTAAGATGCAAAGAATATTTTTTTTTGACATTCACTTGATACAAACAAATGTACAGAACTCACAGCGTTAACAGAGTCACCAGCCTCTGCATTTTATACATCATGCTGTAACATTAGCCAAAAACTGATTGCAGGAAGTAGATTTACATAACTAAGCTTCCATGGGAGCTTCAACTGAATGCAGTTTTTGGGGTTGCCTGGAAGCCTTCATGTATAGAATGGTACATATGAAAAATTCCCTGTTGCATACAAGAAAAAAGTTGGACTGAACCTTCATGGAGGTCACAATGCAACTGATGTTGGAGAAGATCTCAAAAGAATTATTTATTTGTTTATAAAAACACCTAGGTGTAGCTTTGGTTATGTTACATTGCACAAGAAATGTGGAGTCCTTGCTGCTCTTTGAGCAGATATTTCATTTCCCAACTAGGTAACATCTTCAATGCAAGTGTCTACATACAATAGCTTGTCCTCCAGGTTTTGATAAATCAGCCATCATTAGACACATAGAAATTAACCATATTTACATATCATACAAAAGGGACAATAAAAATACCAGGATACATTCTTTCCAGCGGCCAACATTGAGATAAAAAGGTATTCCTATCAAACAAACAATGTAGAACACAACACCCTATCTAGGAGAAAACCACATACTCACCAACACTGTCAGGGCAAGCTACTACTAGACTGATGAAGTTACCTAGTTGAGGAATGAAACATCTGCAAGCAAACATCAGAATCAGAGAGCCTCAAAGACTCCACAATTCAACCTGAGCTACATATATATTTTCTTCTAGTGGAATTTTCTCTCCAAAGTATTATGTCTACAACTTTGTTCATAGAGAAACAGTTTTCTCTGCAAACTGATTCAAAACTAGCAAAAGAAAAATATTTTCTGAAACTGATTATTGCTTTTAGAAGTGAAGAGTTACAGTAACATATGAAATTATAGGCAATCACATTCAGAAAGTTTTAAGAACATTTGTTCAGCTGCTATTGCTATTCTAGAACCATGCCCTGAAATATTTGGCAAGCGTGCAGGTTTTTTTTTCCAAAGCTATCCTTGCAGGGGAGAAATTATTCTGCCTTTTTACAAAGATCTGGATAAGAATGGAAACTATGGAAAAATTGCCCATGTTTATCTAAACAGCTGATGATATGTTAGCCTCTTTCCCCAAGGTTGTTAGTAGTTAGTTAGAGTACTTAGTACTTACTTAGAGCACCAATGCTCTACCTAGTATGCATTTCAATTAGTGTAACCTAATCTGACAATCTAGTTCTAATCTTTCTGGCAAATTGCATCTATTGGATTTTAATTATCTACTTTGTGTTTAAATGGATAAGTACAGTGGAAAAATGTGTTGGCAGGCACATTTTCTAATGGTGGTGATATAAAAGCATTTAAGGCAGTGTTTCTCAACCTCGGCCACTTGAAGATGTCTGGACTTCAACTCCCAGAATTCCCCAGCCAGCAAATGCTGGCTGGGGAATTCTGGGAGTTGAAGTCCGGATATCTTCAAGTGGCCGAGGTTGAGAAACACTGATTTAAGGTCTACCTGATACAATAGAAAAAGCATAATTAACAAGAAAATATTATTAATAGGTAAGGAAACATTAGGCAAAACCATGATAAGATTACCTGTAGTATCCTTTTAATACACAAAACTGTCTGAGAAGAGGAAATCTAAAGGTCTTTGAAATCCTTTCTAAATCTATAATCCCATGTTATCATTCCACTATCTATACAGAGAATCGTTATATTTCATTATACCTTTGTGTTGGTGAAAATCTTCCCAAAAGTTCGGCAAAGTCGCCAGAAAAACCTTGAGAATTCATGAACACATGCGGTTGAAGCTACATTGATTTTACCAACAATTTCAATAAGTTGAGGCAACCTGAAAAATCAAGATTAAGATTAACATAAGCCAGCTGATTCTTTTCCAGGAAGACGGCTGTTCTTGATGTTTGGGGCCCAAACAAGTTGTTTTATTTACAATTTTGATGTGATTACAAATATAAACTTATAATATTCGAGCGTCCGAAAATTACCTAAGATGTATTATAACTGCTCATGACAATGGCTCTATTTTTGTATACATATTTGCATACAACCGTAATGGAACTTAGAAATTCCGGCATTAGTTACAATGGTTGTAAGTTGAGACTTGAAGTGATGAAGTGAATGCTTTGTTTGTAAAGCGAATGATACAATCGTTAAAAAACCCCATTCATTTCTATTATAAAACATTATAAATTAAAGTCATGTGACTATGGAAAGCTGTAAACGGCTATAAACGTGAACAAGTTTCCAAACAACTCAAATGCGGTCATAGGAGTGGAGGGGCTGGGGATAGCTACCATTGGAACTCCAGAGCTGGGCTATAAAAACCTTTCGGGGAGTCTGTCCTAACTCTGAATTTTTGCTAAGTGGCTGGTGACAGCAGTGCTTGCAACATCACCGGGAGTCAGCAATGGGAATGTGATTCAATACTAAAATATTTTAAAAATTAAAATAAAATTTAAAATACTATGCAGAAAACATTCTGCACAGTATTTTAAATTNCCCAGAATTCTCCAGCCAGCAGAGCTGAGCTGGCTGGAGAATTCTGGGAGTTGAAGTCCACAAGTCTTAAAGTTGCCAAGTTTGGGAACCACTGCTTTAGAGCAACCATTGAACTATCCCAAATGTTGCCATTTACAGATAGTCCTTGATTTACAACTGTTCACTTGTGACAGTTAGAAGTTACAATGGCCCTAAAAAAAGACTTATGACCATTTTTCATACTTATGACTGTTGCAGCATTCCCACGGTCATGTGATTTACATTTAGATGCTTGACAACTGACTCACATTCATGATGATTACAGTACAGGGTCATGTGATCACCTTTTGCAACTTTCTGACAAGCAAACTCAGTGAGGAAGCCTGATTCACAACAACCCTGTTACTAACTTAACAACTTCAGTGATTCACTTAACAACTGTGGCAAAGAAAGTCATAAAATGGGGAAAAACTCACTTAACAAATGTTCTCCCTTAGCTACAAAAACGTTGGGGCTTAATTGTGGTTGTAAGTCAAGGACTACCAGTATACTGCATGGACTACGTGAACAAGGAGAGTTCAGATATAGGTTTCATGTAGCAGGTTGAGCCGATACTGCAAATTTCCAACTATATTTTCAACATCTTTTTAGATTAAAATATGCATTGTACTATTTATCAAATTGGTTATTCTATAACTTTCCCCCCATTTAATTACAAGGTAATCTGATAATATTGATACTGTATGTCAGAGCACTAAAGACTATAAAATACTCTGCCATTTTTTGATGAAAAAAAAATGTCACAAAAACACAACAGCATTCCTGTTCTGCAGATTATGGCTTTATAATGGAATATTGAAATGTCCAAAATCTTTGAGATTAAATTCTTACATCTGATGCTGTATGTAAACGATGGCCCCTTTATATCAGCTTCAGTAATATACTTTACCCTAATTCCACAAAAGATGCTTTTAGGCTATCAAGGGGAGCGTGAGATAATGAAAGCATAGTCATGACATCTTCTAAAAATCCCACTAACAGCTTGCGGTCTTCTTCCTGAAAGTAGAGGTTTAAAAACATCAAGTTAAATTTCCTGGCCTGTTATCAGGAAGTGGACCACATCAAGATTTTAACTAAAGGAAACCTAGTAATATTTTGGAACCCACGACTCAATCATGCCCTTTGATCAGAAGATACTGTCCCGGTTCTTAGCACTTTGCTCTAGAATGGGATAGGACAGTGGTTCCCAAACTTGGCAACTTTAAGACTTGTGGACTTCAACTCCCAGAATTCTCCAGCCAGCAGAGCTGGCTGGAGAATTCTGAGAGTTGNTCCAACAACTACATCAACATTTCTATGAGGTCTTATTTCTAAATAAAGCTTTACAGAAAATATTGAAGCAGGTACCTTCTATATGTGGGACTTCTCCCTGAAGCTTAGCTTTGCTTGTAAAGGGGGCATCTTGCAATACCAGTGCAAAAAGAGAAGGTATCAAGGATTGTAAAGCAGAAAGATACATATGGAGCTTGTGTTCATCCAGTCCATGTTCACTTTCCTGAAACATATGCCAGAAATCTAGTTAAAACTTGGCTTTTTTACACTACATAGCCACTCAACAGCATCTCCTAAAAAGTGTGTGTGTGTGTGTATGTATGTGTGCATGCATGCATGTATGTATGCATGCATACATACTCAGTTGATCAGTCAGATCTTTTATTATGATTAATAACCAGAACTCCACTTAAAGATGGTAAAAATGAAAAATAACAAAATAAAAGATAAACATAATCAATATGATTGTATGTGTGTAAAACAACAATAATTTTGACTACATTCAAAGAAACTCAACCATATTGATTTGCTAACAACTGTACAACCAAATATATCAATACATGTGCCTTGAAGTAAAAGGCACCAAAGCTATTTGGTTTATATTAGGTCTTGTTTTTCACAAATGATAAAAATATATGACTTTTAATATATTTTACATATTTACCTTGAGTAGTTTTTCAATTTTAATAAGCAATGTAGGTATAAGATGCAACTGTAAATTTCCTAATTCTGTAGTCCAAGCAGCATAAGCTGGTAAGAATACTTGGTGAGTTGCACTAACCACTCGTTCTGAGGGATCACCCAATGCTGAGAGTAGCAGTTCAAATCCCTGGCAATGAAAGGAAAAATACGTGTAGAAGTTTTATTTAGTTTAGATACATAACAAGATATCAGCAGAATTTTATGTACATATTGGAAGGATTAGTTATAATTCTATTGCGATTCTGCAACTCTTATGCTGTGACCTCTCCAAATAGAAAAACAGAAGAATAAATAAAAAGCAGAAGTAAGAAAACTGATCACTCTTCACCTTCACAACTGGATTCTTTGATACAGCAAAATAGAGGTTCATAGGAAATGTTTTCATTTAGGATTTTATGTTAATCTGTGTTTAANTGATGCTATGAAAGTTATGTTGCCACTTAGTACATTGCTGAAAAATGCTTATGTTACCTTTGGCAATTTATATACAGCGGTAATATTTAAACTAGACTAAAAACCTATTGAGAGAACATCTGCAGTAGAAAAGTAATCCCCGATTTTAAAAAAAAGAAGTCAGAAAGAGAAAGCTAATACAAAGCACACACCTTTGCTCATCATCTGGCCTTTTGATCAAGTTGAACAATATGTGCAAGAGTTGGTCTCTCTCTTTAGGTTCAGGATGGAGGCAAGCTGTACACAGAATGAGTGGGATCAACTCCTAAAAAGAATGTGAGCAGGAAGGAAAGCAAAAACTATCAAGTGATATTAAGCAACATAGAAGGAACATTTAAAACTCTAAAGAGCAATAAAATTATTTCACATACTGAATTCATTACCAACACAATTCACAAGCATGTTATGAACTCAGAAAACGGTCCATACAAATTATAGCTGTAAGTTCTAGTATCTGAACAATCTTGTCTTAATCCATGTTTGCTTACTTGAAGCTGAAGAAAAGAAAGTGGTTTAAACCACTGAAAATGAGATTGAGTTTAAGATTAACGTCTCATTATGCTGATTGCCATACAAAAAACTTAATTTTATTTTGATACATTTTATATAAAGATATATTTATAGCAAAAAGGACTTTATGCCTATTTACAGAAGTTCGATCTGATTTGCAAGCAATTTATATTAAAATTCTGATATTTTAGCTACTTCATGTATTTGTGCTACTACACAATATGCCTTCCGAATCAGAAAAAAATTAAAAGAAAAGGTATAATTCAGAAACATTTTATTTGTCTAGTTCCTGATTTTTTTTTTGCAATGTCACTATCAATCAGATATATAAAGGATCATCCTACTGCTGTTCTAAGAAATACATTTATTTTCATGGAAGTACATACACTTCACTAAACTATGGTTGTCTATATATTAAAAACAAAAATCTNTTTTGTCGTCCGCGGTTTTGTGGTGGAACCATTTAATTTAGATTTTGCCTGTAGGAAGCAGGCAAGGAAAGTTGAGTATGTGACTGTGGGATGCTGCAACCATCATAAAGTAAATGTGAGTCAGTTGCCAAGCATCCAGATCATAATCATATGATTATGGAAGTGTTGGGATGGCTGGGATTTTGGAACCAGTTGTAAGTACCACTCAATCGGCACCTTTGTAACTTTGAACAGTCTCTGAATGAATGGCTGTTAACTGAGGACCATCTGTTTGTCTTATGTCTAGGATCTGATTCTTTAAATATCATCAGATCCTAGACATAAGGCCCTGATTCTTATGTTTTTAAAAGAAAACCTGCAACATATAGCTTTTAAATGCTGTTTAGCTAAAATCTTATTTTTCACCACTGGTTATACTCATTAGGAGAAATGGGGATTGAGTTCAACAATATCTAGAGGACAATACTGATATGAAATACTTTTGGAAGCTTTATGATTGAAACACAAATTTGCTGAGAACCTTATCAGTTTAGTACTGTACTAGGAAAATATATATCTGAAAGGAACCAACTGCATTCACAGATAACAATAACCGAGAGGGTTTTAAGCTAATGGAAATCACCTGTTGCTAAATCAAGAGGACTGTTTTTTTTAATAATATTAAGAAAGCAACTGGACCTCTGCATAGTTTTTGCACCAGGCAAACCAACAATTTAAAAAAGCATAAGAAATAACATATACTTTCAAAAATACTCAATTTAGTGTCAATAAATCAATTTAGCTGTCCTCAAAAAGCTCATCAGGATTGTGTAAGAAATTTTTAAAAAAACAGGCTTTAGTTACATTGATATTTAAAATAAATCCAGGAGACAAGAATCAATATTTATATTGTAACTGAGAAAATCACATGCATGTATCCATGCAATCTCTAGGAAGTGAGCTCAAACATTTTATTTTCTGATAACATCGGAAAAAGATAAGATCACCTTTATTGTTACTTCTTTGTCTACACAATGGCACACATTAAAATGAAATTCCAATGCCTGCTCTCAAATGAAGAAATATATATATATATCTCCATATACACACATACACATATACTGTATATTGCATCTTAGGCAGATGTGTTAACCACTAAGCTACTATGCAATACAGCACAGGTTCGATTCCCAGTAAGGGTATGGCTAGCTGATGAGAGCTAAATAGCTTGAAATAGATCTATACTAGTCTCCCTTTATTNCGGGATCTAATCGGTCTATTGGAGGTAATTGGAAAACAGAAACGATACCTGCTCCCAGCACTGTGGCAAGAGTTCAGCTTCTACACGTGTAGGTCCGACATGCTGTGCAAATGCTACACACCCAGTCAAAATCATTTGCCTAGTAAAAAAAGAAAGAAAGAAGCCTATAATGAAAAAAACATGCTAGTGCAACCTGCAAACATTTAACAAACAGCAGATGCACCATCTGAAAGAATAATTAAGATAATTGAACCAGATGGCTCTTTTACTCACAGACAGTCAACAATTGATAACATGAATAACTTTCAAAGACAAGATCTTTTAAAAAGCATATTTTTCTTTATTTCTGTGGGAAACGCACACTTTTATCTTGCTTTTGTTTACAGTGGAATTGGCTTCACAGGTAGATTCTCTCGTTTAGCAACTGCTCACAGTTACCAAAAGTAATTTTATGGCAATCATTGTAATTATAAGCTTCTCAGGTCTGGAAATCAAAACTGAAGTAATACCAGAAACACAATCATGATTTCATTTAGGGACATTTTTGCTTAATGATTGAGTTACTGGCCCCAATTTGATAGCTAAATGAGGAGTACCGGTATAAAACTGCTGCTTATATTTTGGAAAACAAAATAATTGCAGTCGTGGTTTTTCATAAGTGAATATGTAAAATAAAATACACACTGTAAGAAAAATGCTGTAGATCAAACGATCCACAATGTGAATGTATACTATAGCAGAATAAAGTCTAGATAATTTATATTGTGCAAAATTAAACATATACTTAATGTAAGCTACAAATTGAAAAAAAAAGGAAAGAGGGGAAGAAAAAAAGGAGATTTTAATATACGTAAAAACTTCAAAATGCTCAGAATTGTTTATCTGAGGAATTAGTCTATATTGTACTGATGATTTATTTGAAACTAAAGAATATTTAGTTAATAACTCCCATATATCAACTTTAGCCCATAAATGTGATAAAATTGGCAGCATATTTATTTTTTATTTATTTTTCTATGAAACTGAATCTCCATGAAACAATCTCACACTATATTTAATTTTAAAAATTTTTTTTAGGAATTGTACTTCCCCACTACCTACCATTCAACAGAGGGGTAGAAATAGTCTTCTAACCTTTACAAAGATGTCAGTTCCTCAATTAGCACTGCATCATCTCCCTTCAAAAATTAAATTCTGCTTGAAGAATCTGCAGATTGCTCTAAATCTGTGCTGCAAAGCCAAGATAACTTCTCAGATAACTTGATTTTTTAATATTTTCCTAAGGACGGTCTGATGAGACACAGCCTGATGATTAGAACTTGACAATGACTTTTTTTTGTTCTGTTACTACACCAAGTCTACAGCAAGAGACGATTCAAAGTTTGAGGATTGGTCAGAAACCTATTTACAAGTTTTTTTTAAATCTGTTAGTCTATACCAGAGCTGTCAAATTTGCGTTGCAATGGGGTTGTCATGTGACATGTCAGGACCCCTTTGCTAAAATGGGCGTGGCCAGCGTGTGACGCATCCAGCCTACGAGTTTGACAGCCGTGGTCTATAGCAGTGTTTCTCAACCTTGGCAACTTGAAGATGTCTGGACTTCAACTCCCAGAATTCCCCATACAGCCAATGCTGCCTGGGGGACGCTGGGTGATTAATGTGCGTTCTCTTC